GACCCGTTCATCCTATTTCGACTCTTTAAAATTCAAGAGTCTATCCTAAATTGAGGTAAATTATATGGCCTTCCAAATACCGTTTCAATCCCTAACATCACTGAAGAGACATTAATTGTCGAAATCCGGATATGGTGTACAAAGTTTTGCACCTCATGTTTGCGATATTCCATCTTTTTCGCAAGTTTATTGTTTTCTGTTTGATATTAAATTTATAATTAAGATCAATGTTACATCTGGTATCAATTTATTTGGCAATCGCCAATGGCAGTCAGCGAGGTTTAAGAACATCAGTTGTTCGACCTGTTAGTCTAATGCGTTTTGTTAAAATATTCTTTTCACTTTTTGGTCATTTTGAAAATGTTGTTTGTGCTGTATTTAGTCCCCTCTACCAAGAAATTTGTTTTACATGCACACGTATAAAAATTGCGGTTTTTATCCAACGCAATCATAGGTTTGAACGTTGTTTTCAATTTAGACTTGTTTATATTTTTTCGTTTGGGCTTGTATTAAATTTCCTTCGGGTTTATATGACCCGTTCATCCTATTTCGACTCTTTAAAATTCAAGAGTCTATCCTAAATTGAGGTAAATTATATGGCCTTCCAAATACCGTTTCGATCCCTAACATCACTGAAGAGACATTAATTGTCGAAATCCAGAAATATATATATATATATATATATATATATATATAGATTCTACCACTGCATCAAGTGTGAGACGATATTTATCCACTCGAACCATTTAATTTTCAAATTTTAAAAGGCGAGGCCTGCCGAGCGTTTTAAATATTGTAAATTTAACTGTCAAAAATGAATATATATCGTATTGCACGACATATTAATTTACAGTAATATTACGAAAATGTATTATTGACTAAGAAAATGAGGTCAAGGTCAGATAATACATGACAGTTAATCATGTACACCTTACAATTATTTCATTCACCAAATATAGCTGACCTATTACTTTCAGAATTTGAAAAACAGACCAAAACACAAAAACTTAACATTGACCAATGAATCCTGAAAATGAAGGTTTGGAAGGGTCCTTCATTTCTTTATCGGTACACCGGATAATGCTGCTCGTACCCAATGACTCATAAATCCAACAAAGGATCAGGTAGTCTTAACCATGTGTCAATTTATTGTACAGGTACTTGGTTGCTAACATACTACATGTTTCCAGCAATATTCCGGGGATTCACGGTGAAAAGGGACAGCCTTGAAACGCGATCACTGTTATTTGGCAACAATAATAAACTTGTATAGATCGCTCAGCTGCCTTGTAATATAGAGCTAAGGAATGCTTATTTTCAAATACATGTACGATACAGAAACATTTTTTTTATTAACTTTTTCTGCTTCTGTGGATGGGGCTGGTCTGACGGAGAACCTCAAAATAACGATGCAAGATATTGCAAATGAAACTGATGACAATCAGTATATAATATCTTATATAACTACAGACAGACACAAACATGTAAGTTAACTATATATTGGTGTTGAAATGTGAAATATTATTTTCATTAATAAATTCATTTTCAGTTGGAAGTGTACAATGCATCTCAAAATGCCGCCCCCAGACAATTTGTTTCAGTGGCTACTGACAATACATGCCGAAAACTCAAATGGGTGTTATGAATTATGAATGAATGACATAAATCTATGAGAAAACAACTCAACAATACTAAAAACCAGTTACATGCTACGGGAGGGAAAAGAGAGGGGGTGTCTTCCTCGGTAAGTACAGACGTTACGCAGGTATTGATAACTTTTTCGAGATGTCAAATAAATCAATGGGTGCAATTTCACGAAGACTATTTAACAATGGATAGACATTTATATGTCAATTGGACTTGAATATTAATATTTTGCTAAGATGTGTGTAAAAACTGTGTACTGATCCTTTTATGTAGTTAATATGAATGAGCCCTGTGGTAAACATCTCAGTAAATGTCACGTACATATTGAATGTCCAGCTGATAGCTGGGAAATATATGAATGGGTTATGATTTTTCTATAAAATATATGTATGGGTAGGGATTTTCACAAGAATCAATTTATGAATGGGGGGAGGTTACAACCCAATCCGGATGTGTATACCCACATATTTATGTTTAACTTTGAAGATCAACAGTCTGTCCCTCTAGTGAGTACTGAATATAGACAGACTGGTTAAGGAGGTATGACAAGACCCCACGGTATGGTCGGAATGGCGAACAAAGGACATATTATCATGATTCTGGGAATGCCATAGAAGTACATCAAAATGTGCATGCATCTATCAACCAATAATGGTTCAGGATACCCACAACACCGTATCAAATTTACAACAAAACCAAGTTGCCTGCCAACAAAGGCAATCAGTCCAAATCGTTGTAACAAACAGTTACAATCAACCACAACAAAATATCCAACAACAAGCAGCCCTACTTCAAATCGTACAACAGCCAACAAGGATTCAGACACAACCAAATATACAGCAAAACATGCCACAACAATTCTCGACAACCAAACAACAACCTGCAAAATATTTTCAACAACAACAGAATGTACCACAACTGCAACAACAACCAACGATGATGGCAGTTTAACTACCACCGATCACAAATCAATATGTACCATCCGTACAACCTCAACCTGGTATTTGAAATGTCACAAGCCAACAACAACAACAGGACTATAGTTCAGGGTTCATAGCCAACAACTTTCCTTTACAACCACAAAGAGGCATACAAACTGGTTTTCAGAACACCGAGTTTCAATAAAATTTAGATTTTTCAAAACTGCTTCGTTTATTACAATATTTATCCATTCTTAAATTTTAAAATGAAATAACTGATAGTATATAAATAGTGTAGACGTCCATTGGGCAAATTGGAATAATCTGTTTCTATAATGAAGACTGATAAGTGGTTATATATGGCGGGAAATGCATACAACATTAGATAATTATAACTTTAAGTTATCCCATTTCACCTATTCAGGTAATGGGGTACGTAAAATATTTGAATCAACTCAAGCATCGCATACTTGTCATATTTTCAAAAAACATAATTGTATATTCATTGACGACGTAACCACGCAGAAGTGACATCACTTATTATTTCATTTTATTTTTACAACCATGAGTTATGAATATCAATGTATATAATATGTATTGTAAAAAAGAATGTCGATACTGTTTTTTTGTGTAGCTATGCGCGTGCTCCAACATGTTCTGTGTTTACTAAATCTTTATATCCATGTTAGTTGAAATAAAGATTCATTCATTTTTGTCATTCATTCATTCACATGTGTCCTTTTATTTGTTTGGTTTCTTAGATGTTTAATATTTTTTATGTCGTTGGGTTGCTGTTTCAATAACGTACACAAACATCACTTTATATTGAAATTTGAAATGTGTATGAACAGTCAATCAATTTTCTAAAAACAGAGAAAGCCAGATTTCCCGGAGAGAACCTTCCGTAGGAAAACTGATATTTCTAGTCAATTAAACATCAGTGTTGACAGACAAGTGAAACAGTAGATGAACCACTTAGATCACGCGGCCACGAAGCCTCCCTCAATCAATTGGATCGAATCTAAATTAATCTATAATCAACAGCAGTTCCAATCAAATTAAAGCCGGAAAGCCAGGAGAGAAACACCGACCCTCCGCAGGAAAACTGGCAATCCTATTCAATAAAGATTATATTCGAACGTAACTACCACGTGTGGGATTTGAGCTCTCAACCTCAGTGTTGACAGGCCAGTGAACCAGTAGAACTACTTAGACTTCTCGGCCACCATCAATCAAGTTGATCGAATCTATAATCATCTATAATTAACAACAGTTTCAATCAAATTAACTAAAACGTTTTTGAAAAATACAAAAAGATTAAAATATCGCGATTTTCTCATTGAAACATCTTCCAGTCAGTTACTGGCAAAACAAATTTCTATGATTAACTATCAGTGGTTTATTCATGCAAATAAGCATCCATATGTAGAATAGTAACGGACAGGGGTAATCCTATCGTACAATCAAGGTTCAAAAATACTGTATCTGATATAACACAAACATATTAACTGTTCAACAAAAACAGCATTTCATTGGTTAGCAAATTTCCAGTTAAAATGTTAAAATTCAACAATACAGATGGAGCTCTACATTATACACGGTGAAATGATCAAAATTATTGTATTTTATTTGTTTTCATCTGTAGTGATCTGAATGCTAAGTGAAATCCAGAACAGCATATAACTAGGATACTTTTGAATACCAAGGCAGAAAAATCTTGAAAGGTTCAACGAACATTTGGCTACACGTTGCTGTTTTTTCTTCGAGATGTTTTCTTTTACAAAATTTTTCACAGCTCCGCCGTTTTAAAACCGCATTGGCTTTCCATATTTTTTTTGTGTTTTAGTGTTCCTGATAAATGTAATTCCAGAAAAGCTCTTCGTAGCCACCAAAATCATCAAGTGCTTTTTATTTTTATTTTCTAGCACTCGAACGATACCGTTGCTGGTAGACTGTTAGTCCCCGATGGTATCATCAGCTCAGTAGTCCTTGCTTCGGTATTGCCATGATTTATAATCTCCTTCCTTAAATTCTTAAATCAAGAAATAACTAAGAAACTAGCATATCTACCCATGAGGAAAAAGTGATCTTAGTAGATTTGGTTTATTCTCTTAAGGTTCCTTTTGGTCATATAGCTTCCAAGTATTTACACATCTATGACTTTCCTTATTTTTTGGTTAGGGCATTCTTGCATCAGGTAAATAAAACAAAAGCAACTCGGATGCACCTAATTTATAAAGTGCTATAATATCATAGAGGTCAAAAGTACAAGCCATATATTTTTATTTAAATATTATCACACATGACCAGGAATAATTGTTAATCTGTATTACATTTTGCTAAACTTTGCTACTGGTGTTAGTTGAAAACTTGTACTCAAAGGACCGATTAAAACCTAAATTATTACCATGCTGACATAAAAAATAAGACAAGAACACTTTATTTTTATTTTCAAAGTGTGCAACAATAAAGCGCAAGCTCTATTACCATATAAAAGAAGGAAATAAAAAAAATCCAATTAAAACAATAGATCATACTAACAATATATATACAATCACCTCAAAACATGATCTATTCAGCAGCAAGACTTAAGAGATAGAAATATAACATAGCAATTAAATTACATGGACTGGGAAAAACAAACACAGGAGATGGCAAGTATAAAATATGCAAAGCATACAATGTAACTACACAGCGACATTCTAAAACATATATAGACTTATAATGTTTTTTTTTTAATTTTGGTTCATTTATATGTATGGAGTTTAGTGTGACGAGCATTTCGCTGGACAAGTATATATTATTGTTTAGTGCCAGCCGAAGCCCACCTCCAAGTGCGGGATTTTTTCGCTGCATTGAAGCCCTATTGGTGGCCTTGGGTTGTTTTCTGCTCTTTGGTCGGGTTGTTGTCTCTTTACCACATTCCCCATATGTTTGTAAGCAAGCGTATCACGAGGTGTTTACATTTGTTATGTGATAATTCATTGCTTTGACTTTTATCATTTACACCAATTAATTTTGTACCTTGGGCTTTAGCTTCTGAACCGTAGCTCTTAGTTCCTTATGATATTTTTTGACAATTTGCTGACCATATTGTCAAAAAATATCATAAGGAAGTAGGAGCTACGGTTCTGCAGCTACTTGGTACCAACGCATTCAAACAAAGACTTAAATTCTATTAAAACTATCGCAATGTTAAAAAACAATTAGGAAAAAGTGATAGACTATCTTCCCAGAAATTTCCTGAATCTAAACCATAAAATTGTTATATTGCTTCTTTCACCTCTGCGAACATATGACAAAACCAAGACTATCATGTTTCTTATACATTTAATATAGCAAAAGATAAATTCAATCCTAAATTCCAAACGTTATAGAAGTTTACAGCGACAGTTGATAACCTTTTAGAATTACAAATTATAAAAGGGTAAATTGAATATTGAGCCATGAATATATATATAAACGTATTGACTTGAAGCGGTATTAATATAAGAAACTTCTTATCACTGTTTAATGACACTGTTTCACCCGCATATACTAAAATATGAAAAGATCACAATTTCAATAAACTTTGTTATGTTAATTCATTTCGGAAGATACTTAGAATGAAATATATAGCAAAAAAAATTGAAAAAAAAAGAGTAAGGCTCAAACACAACAATGTGTGAGCAAACCAAACAGACATAAAAGGTAAAAATGTCAAAATTGGGGTTCAGCAGTAAACATTCTTAATCACTATAAAAACAAACAACTATGTCAACAAGGAAAAACAAAATGGCATATAGGCACTCTATAGACAGAGCACATAAGCAAAAATGAAAGACAAGAATACAAAAATGACCTTTGCACAATAACACAATGACGGGATGTATAAATACCGATTCTAATATGACGTCCTTCTTTCGCTTTGGAATTGTTTCAAATAAAACATGGACTGAACGTGATTGACGTCACAATTGAAATTGCAACATCAGCTGGTTTTTTATAATGACGCCGGAGATCAAAATAGACATTAGTGTTGGTGTTGCTCGCTAGGAAATTAAATAAAATCATTCTAAAAGTCAGTTTACATATATCTTTTCATTTTTTCTCGTGAAACGGTTGATTTCCTTTAACGTTTTGCTTTCATCAAATCAAAATGGCTGCCTTTCAAACATGTATTATAGGTTCACTTTTCAAGTGCAAAATTTCTAAAATTACCAATAAGAATCGAAATAATTCTGTCATGACATGCTCTATGTTCATTTTAACATGGGTAAGCATTATAGATATTGACAAATATAATGCCTACCCATGTTAAAATGACCAAAGAGCATGACCCGAAAGAATTATTTCTTAAGCCACGCAAAAAAACAAAAACAAACAAACAACAAAACAAAACAAAACCATAGCTCACTTACATATATGATGCAACCACAAGGGGTATATGAAACTAGGATCTTGGATATTTAGAGAAATATATATTGCACTTATATATATATCGCAAAAGTATATAGCGTTATCTAGAATTACATGTAAATATAGTGACATACATGGACATATTTATCCAAACACTCTTACAAAGTAACACGCTCCATTGTAAACAGCTTTGCACACACGCCTGAACAAAGAAGTCTTCTCTTTAATGTAGCGAACATCAGTACTGGCAATCTCGTTAATAATGTTGTCCGCTTTAGTCGGGTTGAACAGACAATTTTTCACCGTGTTTCCATTTTGATCTGTATAATCTGCAAAAAGTGTAGGTGAGGTGGTTGGTAAAAAATTTTGTATTGAGTAGATAAAAATTGAGGAGTTATGAACGTTTTCGCCTAAAAATCCTGCCGACCATCCCTCATTACGGAGGGCATCATTCGCACCCGAGGAATCGCAGCATACGGCTGTCCAGTAGTGATCAGGTATATTGACTCTTCCATTACCCATGAACCTATTTTTGCTCGGTAGAACGCCTGTAATGAAATAACGTCTTGCTCCTACAAAATTACAATACTTTTTTGAGATGTCATAGAGAGTGGTTTCAAATCTATTCCATATTCCTTGATTAAATGATGGGACTTGAGGTGCGATATTGGTTAAAGTATTTGTCGCTTTTCTACTGTCTTCAGAATAGCAATGATATAGCTGTGGATTTAAATGTCCCCTGTCATAACCGCTACCTGTATAGTCAACATTTACTGCTTGTTTACTCCCGAACGCAGCTACATTGTTGTTTGCTCTGTTGATCTTTACCATACTTGGATCATTTTTGGTGGCTAGTTGAGGCTCAACAAACCAACCATTATACCGATTTCCGCACCTATCAAACGACAATGTGTATGCGCTATAGTATGGAATTCTGTTTGTTGTGTCATAATCAGTGGCGTAATAATATAGGTTTTCAAGTCGTTGACAGATTTGAGTTGAACCGACCAGTCGTTTCAACTTTGGTGCAGTTTTCTGGTAGAAAAAATCATTTATACATTTTCTAAAATTTGGAGATACTTCTAATTTTACAAAATTAAAAGATAGGAAAATCACAACTGATCCAAATATATTTATCATTGTGTACAATAAATCCGCCTGAAAAAAAAAACAACAATAAATATATTTAATATTATGAAACCTGATACATAAAATATAAATCAGTATCTAGTTTTATTATTAACGTAATTAAGTTTTTCCACCTTTCTGTGTAAAGACATTTTGGTTTTGTGTGGATTATTATTATATGATATCGAACAGTCTGATTAACTTTGAAACTTACCCTGTTTAACCATGTTAACCTAACACTTTTCTTTGTATTAGTTATATCCCCTAGCACTGTTTTCCTGTCATCGCTTCTCGTCAATTACCAAATTTATATTGTTTGTTATATCCTAAGAATATCAGTTTTGATTGAACCGATCCAGCGACATTTTATATGAATGATTTCCCCTTATTTCGTAAGTCGTATAGACCTGATGTCCTTTGATTAAAAATCATTGACTATAACTTGGAAATTGATATTAAGGTCATAGGTCAAGATTATGTTCTAACGTGAGACCGTTGCTTGTTATTGCATCGCTTCTGTCTATAAAACACAAGTATGCTCATTTGGTACATTTGATTGAATCAATATATCCTTTGACTTCTAATATGTGTTATTACCCCTGAATGATTTAATTTGAGAGTAATTTAAACATATTTCAAACTGATACATTATAAAAGCATGGGGTCTTCTGATAATGAAAGGATCCACTTTACCTAAAAATGGTTATCTGGACGTGATATTATGCAAACCAAAATAATTGTGTTTACACTTACAGAGTCTAGATATCATACAATTTCAGAATCTGTGTAAAATCAGCTATATTATGACACCGCAAGACCATTATGTAAAGCGGAAGTAAATAATTGTGGTCTGCATTCCACAGAAAAGAACCTGGAAACCATGTGGTTTTGGAATAAATATAGAACAATATTTCTATGCCGTAGCGAAATGTACGCCGCGCCCTATAAATGAGGAATTAGATTGTGTGTCACAATGTGTAAATGTGGTATGATGGTCAATATATATGGTAAAAGACTCATAACACAAAAATGGTCAAATGAAAATCACGGTATAATGAGGTAAATTACACATGATGGCAAACAATCTTACCAAGTATGAAAGTTTTCTGGCCAATGGTTTCATAGGAGCTGCATTAATGAGGTGACACTAATACAATTCTTCAAAGAATAGTTAAAGTACCTTAACTCCCGTAAAATAGTCAGACTAAAATGACGATATATGGCCATTTATCCTACCTAGTATGAAAGCTTTATGTCAAAACGGTCTCAGAGTAGTTGAGTTGACAAGGTACAATTGTCACAACACTTCAAAAAATAGTCAAAGTCCCTTAACTCCCGTAAAAAAAGTCGAATAAAAATGACGATATACTATGATCAACTACACATGATGATAAAACTTGGAATAAATTTAAAAGACATTAAAAGTTGATTCAACATTAATGCGACTTCAATTTAATAACAAAAAACTACTCCCGGATTGCTCCGACGTCTGACGGTTTCTCGTTCCTAGAAAGGCCTAAAACAGGCTGTCAGGCTTTAGAGTAATGAAGTAGGAACTTCAATAAATAATTTTGATAATATCGAATGAGTCATTTCTTATACAAACGTTATAAGTTTCATTGAAATAAAACATTTCACTGCACTAAGCTTCCTTTCCTTTTAATTTTCTCTCACAACTACACAATAAAAAAGTAATAAACAATTCTAATTGTAGATGTGAATATATCATAAAATTGAGAATGGAAATGGGGAATGTGTCATAGAGACAACAACCCGACCAAAGAGCAGAAAACAGCCAAAGGCCACCAATGGGTTTTCAACACAGCAAGAAAATTCCGCACCTGGAGGAGGGCTTCAGATGTCCTCTAGATAAAAATGTGTACTAGTTCAGTGAAAATGGACGTCACACTAAACTCCAAAACATATAAATGAACTAAAATTAAAAAACATACAAGACTAACAAAGGCCAGAGGCTCCTGATTTGGGACACGGGGTTAAACATGATTTGTGAAATCCCCCCTCTCCTTTACCTCTAGCCAATGTAGAATAAACAAACACAGCAATACGCACAGTAAAACTCAGTTTAAAAGAAGTCCATGTATATTACAAGAAGCAATAGACTGCATAATTATTACCCGTAGAGGGTGACTATCATCTATTCATCCGACGTTTGATCAATTTATGATATCGACATCCTGTATCCTTTATCGACATCCTGTATCCCATATCCTTGTGTTTTTTCTATTATGTAGTAATCATATTACACATGATACATACGACTCTTGGTAAAATAAAATATGCAATCCAAACACCAGCATATTGAACAAACTGAGAAATAAAATACCAGTAGGTACATCGTCATTCAGGAAAGTTTCCAAGTGATCATTAGCGAAATGAAAGCCGCCATTTCGTTTGATTACCAAGACGTCTTTCTTGTCCGATTAAACCAGTGCTAATGAATGTCCATTTTGATTTGAGCGTTGTAAAAATACTAAGTAAACTCCGGTTTTGTTGGTTTTTGTTTAAAAACAAGAGGTAACTATGACAATCTCTCTACGTTAAAGACTGCAGGGAAAACATGTAGGTATTATCTTGAAAGGTTAATCTTTTGCAGCTATCCTATATTCTTCCCTTCTCACAACCTATTTACATTTCGATTTTTCATCTCATCAATCGCTTTCTTATTTATTTTGTTTTATTTCAAAAAGTTATGTTTGCTTGATTGCTTTTCAACGAGAATACTTATTGCATAATTATGTTTAACATTGTACATGTTATGTTTTTAAATATAGCATTAAATTTAGAAAGCAGTATATTTACTTACGAACGATTAACTATAGCACTACATTCACTGTGTTTTGATACGAGGCAAAGTGTGGAAGGAAAGTACCGTCTCTTCTTATACTTTAACCGATAGTCACATGCCTAGACTGAGGGTTATTAATCGTATTGGGGTGGGGGTTTGATGGGCAGATTATTCAATCCTGTTGTGAATATTTACGTAGGAAAATTGTTCTAAGAAAACAAGTGGGCTTTGGTGATCATGGCTTCTAGGAATTTAATTTCTTTAAACGGTACGAGGAAAAGTACCTTTTAACCTGATGTTTTAAATATCGTTTTAGATATATTTCTTCGTTCGTTCATGTTTAACCAAATCCATCAATGTGGAAATAGCATGGTTTTAAATTTATATGATACCTGTCTCAGTGCGCACGAAATTTGTAGAGCATTTACTAAACAGCTGAAAAGGCTAAATAGTATAAGATAAATTTTCCTAAAGGGACATATAACCTTAGGCTTTGTACAATACTATTGACATAGAACTCAAGTTATAATATATACGTTTGACAGCATAATTTATGAAATGAATATATGTTGCTAAAACGAACATTTTACTTATTGCGATTGCGGAAGCATTAGCTTCATGAGAAATGATAAATCGATACCCTGTTACGTGTAATTCATGAGTAATCTCACTAATCCCACGTTATACATGTTATATGGATAGTAATTAAGGCATGCTTTATCGGATGGTTCAGTTTTGTTGGAATGTTGAGCATTTGAATAAGTCTTTCTGGTTATAATGAAACATTAAGACCAAACAGCTTATTTATTATATATATGCATATGCTAGCTCAATGGGCTTGTGACATAAAATCTCGTTGCATACACTAACAAAAACAAGTATTGTTGTTAATAACAAAAAAAAAAAAAATAAAAAAAATTGCGTCAAATGTTCTATTTGCGGTACATGCGAAATTGTTAATCGGACTTTGAGGACAACGTTTACGTGAAATTCGGTGATCTGAAAAAGACAAATTGTTTTACTCATAACTTTTGCCGAAGGCCATTGAAATATATATTATTTTAAATATCATTACTTGAAAGAGATTCACAGCATTTGCCGTTTCTATTTTTTGTAATTTGGTAATACTGGAAAAGTATTTCCCTTTTGCATATTATTCCTGGCGGATATGCACTTAATCCTTATGCTAAAGATTAAAAACACATACGAATGTATGCTTAAAAGTCTTGAATCGATCGATCCAAATCGTTTTGTTTAACCCTCTTAATGCCAAGGCGATATTTATGGGTTTTAATGACAATGCGACATATATGTCGTCACATCAATTGAAACTAGTCTACTGTTACGATCATTTTTAAGTAAGATGGAAAACATTGGAAGTTCTATGACATTCTGTCCCTCGTTTTTTAGTGGATTTCCACACGACGATCCAATATCGTGGTTAGGAAGTTTCCGTGCCTGTGGAGATTTTAATTATTGGAAGGACCAACACAGATGATTCATGCAATGAAATTGCGTCCTACCGGAAGAACTCTGTAATGGATTATACAAGTGAATGCCAGCCAAACAGAAAATTCGGAGACCCTGAACAAGGCCTTTAAGAACTATTTTCAGGACATTCACCCTAAGTGACCTTAGGAACAGCAACTATATGATGAACGAATACCTGAAGATGAGAGTCTCGAGAACTGTGCCAACGGCATTAAAAAACGCTGTATCCTTCTGCGGAAAAATAAAAAAGGACAAAGTCATCTGTTTTATACTAGGAATTACAACAGCGTTAAGAATGGTCGTTATTTGAAAGAGCCAATGAATCCGTGAACATTCTTCCGCAGTTCAACCGTACATCTGACGACCAAACAGAACGTGATACAGTGCATTAAAACTAACTGTTTTGCAGAATGAAATAGCCATTTGTTCAGTTTCAAGTATAACTTGCCAGTTCCTTAATAATCAGAATACATCGCAAAGGAGTGACACAACCTGCAAAGATTCAGCACTCCAAAGAAGAAACTGAGGAAATGTTTTAAGTGTGGAAATGTCGGACACATTAAAAAATCTGCCGAAAAAAGTAGGAGTGCCTAGCCGTGTGAGGGCAGCCGCTGCGCTGAATGAACCATCTGCCCTAGCTAAACTAACAATATAAATATTTTTATGGATGGAATTAATTTGACAAATAGTTATGTTCAGATAAGGTAGGATAAGTTATTCAGTTTGCTTTTACTGACTCAGGGTCAGACATTAATGTTATAAATAAACAAATTGTCAAAATAGTAAATACTGATCAGATAAGATAATGAGAATATGCCATTCACAAGTGCTGTTTATATTTCAGTTACAATCGGAAATCATATATGAAGTGTGAAATTGTATGTGGTTGAAGGTAAAATGCCAGATATTATTTTGGACTTGGAATTTTTACAGTAAAAAATATTGTTATTGATTTTTAAACAATATAATACGCGTAGACCCTAGATGTCAGTTTACTTTAATTAACGGTACTATCATACCGCCTATGACTGAGGAAATAGTTGCAACAGAGATAATATAGTTGGTTTAACATCAGCATCGGCAAATTATTTGTCTTCTTGGTTAATGGCTGCTAAGTCAATTATTAGAGTTGATAAAAATCAGATTTTGTTTGGTGTTGGTAATTTTAACAGATAAACCAATTACTTTGTCAAAACAATGTAATTTAGGAAAAATCGTTTGTTTGTCGAAGCATGATCAGCTGTTTGATTTGAATCTCTTGATATAGAAATAGGGTAATGTAATATCACTAAATCAAGCTGACCAAACAATATCAATAAATCAAATATATCAGTAACAAGCGTTAGGTGACAAGCATAATGAAGTATTTGTTCGTAAAACAGTTAGCTTGGTAAATGATCACTCCTGCATATGAAACACAAAATAGAGGTTCATCAGGGAAAGACGAGCAAACAAGGCAGACTCACGTCAAAAGGATGTTTTGAAAAATAAACATGTTTGAGAAAGATATTATTGAAGAGTCTATTAGTCCCTAGTAGATCAGAAGTATAAACTTTTAACATATGTACAAATAGATTTTCGCATATACTTTTTATTGATCCCTTTTAACGTGCGACTTAAACTTTTTTCATATAAGCCTTTTCTGGAGTAAAACAAGTAAGTAATTCTAGTGTTTTGATCATTCATTAAACATTGAGAATAAAAATAAACTGTTCACACAGAGATATGTCTCGCCTTTTTGATACTTTGATAGTAAAATGCAAATGTTGAAACTAAAATAGCAATATTTTAACATGTAAGCTATGCAAAATATTCAAAGTCAATGAACCATGACTGAAGGCACAGGGTATAACAATCTCCATGGAAATGAGATGTGCCAATGCTTTTATATATGCATACCAAATATCATTGACCTGCCACTAGTGGTTCCCATTAACTGACCTAATCACAAACTAATACATGTAAACTAAGCAAAAGTTTCAAAGTCAATAGACCATGACTGAGGGGGTGGGCCAAATAATGGAAATGAGATGAGCCAATACTTATACAACTACATACCATATACCATTGTCCTACCACTAGTGGTTCACCATAAACTGACTTAATCACAAACTAATAAATTATTGACGCCGCCGCCTACGCCAGCATACCTATGTCTCGCTTTTTGAGTCCATCAAGGCGAGACAAAAACTGCATTACAGATACAGAATATAAAATTAACTAAAAACAATTCATTAGAAAAGCTCGAAAAGAATGGTTGTCAGTTTCAATAATATTATTTACTATTTCACCTAAACGTTGAACATAACAATATCAAAAATGAAAACATAATTTCTTTGTATTCGTGTTATTCGGGAAGTTTTAGAAGAAAATGCAAACAAAATCAAAAATCTACTGTGCGAGTCTACTTTAAAAAAAAAGTAAATACGGGTTTATACGGCACTTTAAATGTTTAACTATAATTGTATCCATTTTCTTCGTATTTTATGGTGTAACTACTACCTTTACAACACAAAAGAGGGTAATTGGTACCGTTATTTTACCCCATCATAACTACCGACAATATTTGCTTTAATCTGTTTATCATGTAATTGATTTGGTATATGAAATCACATAAAAGCAATTTATTGACTAAAAGAAGCATCTTCAAATATCATGAAGAAGAGTTGCGAATTGTACGGATACCTACGTTAATGTGCTGTAGCAATCCAAAGAAACAATTAATAAAAACATGACATTTAGAGGTCAGAAAACAACAAGCAAGCATCTGTATTAAATAGTAAAAAGTCCCGAGACTAGACAGGTTGAAAAAAAGCTACCTTAATTTTCTGTAAACATAAAATTCATGAATATAGCAAAAAATTGTAACATATTAACAAAGACAACTGCTGACCGCGTTCCTGTACTTTGAAAAGCGAAGTAAGTTTTTTGTCGTGATTAAACAGTCGAGCAAATACTCCAACCTCCCCTTTTATATCAATCATTGCAATACTGTGAAAATTGCACGCTTTTGGCACGCGTGAAGATTAAATAATTATAATTGGCCCTTCATTTTCCACTTATAAAATTTTTTTCTTGTAAAATTAAAATGAAATGATTGCTCTTCCACTTATATTAATCATTCTTTGTTTCTTAAAGAATGATAAAACAAATATTTGCTTAATGTCATACTAAAATAAAATTGAGGAAAAACTTACCCAAAAAAAGTTGGTTGATTAGAGATGAATGAAATGACGTTAATTTCACAAGTACAACAGTGTTTTAAGTTAATTTTTCATGCACCCCTTCCGTCCAAAAACGGAAATGCGTTGTTAATCTACGTAATTTATGAGCATATACAATTAAATAGGTCTGTAAATGCATCACCAACATTCTATCATGTACACTTCCTTTAACATGTTTAACAAAGTGCATTGCTTATTTAGGAAAATAACCTGCTTAATCATTTGAAAAGTCCATAAGGAAAGGATGACGTCAAACGAAATTGCCACTAGTGACGTTCAGATGTGAAACACATTGGCAATGCCATAACGTTAATTTAAAAAAAAAATCCGACATCAAGATGGTTAACGGAAAGAACAATGGTTTTAGGTTTGATATTAATGGGATATTTGAATTAAAAATTACTACAGAATGAAATTAACATTTCTGGAAAGAACAAGAAAATTAGGCTGTTATAGTAGAGAGGCGAAAATATCAAAGAGACATTCAAACTCATAAGACGAAAATATACTGACAAGGCCATGGCAAAAAAAGAAAAAGACTAAGACAAACAACAATATACAAAACACAACATAGAAAACTAAAGACTGAGTGATTATAGTGACAAAACGAAGTGTCCCACATTTTTAATACACATTTTTGTCTCAAAATCATACAATTACTTGCCACAAAAATAAAGCAAAGCATCGTTGGTGTCTGAGGCAGCCAATCTGATTTGAACATCCATACATTTAAATCATTACATTAGGTAATTTCTTATCACATTTATTGTTTATTCCAAGCAGGTGTTGGCATGAAATCACTACAAAATATAAATAAAGCTAAATCTTTAAAGTCATTCGAAACGAGTTTCTTGAAATTATAATGTTATTGAAATTATTGAAATAATGCATGCATATATACTAAACTAAGTCCTGTATGCACGATTTTTTTTAACATTTATTACGAATGTATAACGTATTATTGACTAATAATATTTCATTCAGTGATTGTTGATCGCAAGCTCATTAACTTTCGAGTTTGTTGCCGAAGTTTATAACCGGTTCGTGACATTGATTGATAGAACCATGACATTTGTTTTATTTTCCATGCGTTCCCATTTGTTAATTAAACTTTCCCATAACCTCTGTTAAATGATTTGGTGTATTTAATTTGTTTCTTTAAAATAAGTTATTACTATTTTTCCTTCCAGTGTATGCTTGTTTGGATTCTTTCACAACGGATTTCGCTATGCTAAGTAACAGCATGACAAAATCTGAATTTTCTGAATATTCATTAAGTTGTGCCAGTGGACGTTACACAGACAACAATCAATCAACCTTAATTTGACTTCTAGGAAAACTTATTGCGGACAATTAACTGAGGAACGAACAAAATTATACTCCATGCTTCTTTGTATATTATTATGTTATATATATATCATAACATCTTTGTGATGTAGAAAATTCGGTAGATGGTAGATTTTTCATAATAAATATATTCATACATTCTCGACATCTTCACTATTTGTGTTTGAGATTGTATAGACATCTGTCTAGTGTTGAAGACAGTATGCTGGACTTTATAGACATCTGTCTAGTGTTGAAGACAGTATGCTGGACTTTATAGACATCTGTCTAGTGTTGAAGACAGTATGCTGGATTTTATAGACATCTGTCTAGTGGTGAAGACAGTATGCTGGACTTTATGGACATCTGTCTAGTGGTGAAGACAGTATGCTGTACTTTATAGACATCTGTCTAGTGGTGAAGACAGTATGCTGGACTTAGATAAATGGCTAGATATCTGTGTGGTTTAGTTATTGTTCCATTGACGTGAACTCCACATCTGTTTAAATAATATTTGTATTAATAAAATTTGACTTAAATGGAAGGTATTGCTGTCAAATGTCAATCAAAGTGAGCTAATTACAGATCAGTGAAGCACGCTTCACATTTTGTCAATACAATGCTACTTACCAGCTGTCATAACTTTCGATAGAAATATTAAAAAAAAAGCTACAAAAGGAAATGATAGGGTGGACATGAATAAACCAGTACATATCCTTTCTTCCGAGCAGGATGTAAATACAACAAAGCAGTCACGATTTGACAAAATATATTGTTATGTGACAAACATGAGAAAAGAAATAATGTGTAATTTTTAATACGTAATATATGTATGTCGGTTAAACAGAGGGTCATGACTTGGAGATAATGTGCAAAATATTTTATAGAATGTCGTCCCTTCCATACAGGATGAAACATTTTTAAAACGTTTTTATTTGATAGGAATTTAAAATTTCTTTACATACAAGATGATTTCATAGAAATGTGCGTTACTAGTAACTGTTCCATTGGAAAAATGTCTTGGCTCTAAATATTGTGTTAATCATGAGTTAATTGATCCCAGACTTTTGTGTATTTTCAATATCCCCCCCCCTCCCCCCCCCCCCCCCCCCGCCCCCTTGCCAAACAGATAAAAATCCTTCCTATGTAGATACACTGATATTTCTTCACTGTATCTTAGTCTTTTTTTTAGTTTTAATTTTTACAAGCGATTGTATTTGATATTGACTACAGTAAGTGGAATTCTGTCAAATCATTTCCGTATGAATCGGGAATGTTTTTGACATTCTGAAAGAACGCTGAATTTCTTCACATGTAAATGCATGTTGGTATGCATCTGAAACAGTTTAACATAAAGCAGATCTTTCCAACTGCGAACCTGACACGCTAGCTTTGCAGTTGTCTGTAAACATACGTTCAAAAGCACTTAAAAAATCAACTTGTAATGACTGAATGGTCTTGTTTTCGTTGTTTTTGTTCTTCTCATTCCAATATTTCAACAGATACATACAGGTCATGTCCGTCCACGAGAAGACTTTTCTGATCCCGTGGTAGCGTGTGCCGAAGAAAATGAGTCCTCAGGTATTTTAAAAATATCTCTGATGGAAACAGTTCTTCCTCTGCTGGAAACCCAAAACCTGGTTTACAATCTTCTTGTAGACGTTTTATATCCACCTTTGATTTTGCTTCGGGAAAAACATACCACGGTGGGATAACTTTTGCCAGCTCCATTTGCACAAATGAAAAAAGTTATGGCTTCTTCATGAGAAGGGACCTCTCTGATTGCATAAGGCCATGAGTAAGACAATTCTGTAGAGCTTAAACTATAAATTGAACAAGGCTTCTTGGATAAGTCATGTTTGTTCACACAAGAAGACAAATAAGAAAAAAACTAGAAACACGTGTCAAATGACGTGTTTGGGTTTTTTCCATTTGTGCAAGTTTAACCCTCAATTCTTTAAGCTTTGGAAAATTATCATACAACAAATAAAACCAATGTTTTGTGACTGGTTTGTCATGCTTACGCTTGCCAAGGCTTACATCATATTGATTTGATAACGTACACAATTCATCAATTGTATAATTATATCCCTGTTTCAACAACATCATTTACATTTTGTCAATTTTTTCTGAATCTTGAATTTCGTGCATGCTTCCACAAAGGACATTCTCTTCGAAACAACTGCCTCGTATGCAATTATCATTTTTTCTTCGTAACTCATCTCTCTTTCTTCTTCTTCCTTTCCATACAGAATAAATATAATAAAACAAACACATCAGATAATATAACTTGATGCAAAGTATAAGTTAGTAGAACAAATATCTGAATTTCATCCATTTGGAATTCGTTGAACAGCATCGGCATATCGGAAAATGATACATGTAGCATTCGTGAGTCGAGAAACAAAAATTAACAAGCATTCTGTGGGTATTGCATGGCAATACATAGTTCCCTACCGGTTAAAAATTCAGAACAAAATGATAACTTGATCTATAAATTGTCATGGTGTAAACTATATAACAAATATCAAGTCAATATTAAAATAAAGTGTTGAAAACTGATTATTTGAGTGAATTTTATATGTCCAAGGACCATAACTCTGCTCAACATCATCAGACCGGAACAAAATTCAAACTTGAACTGTAGTTTGTCATGATAAAACAATACACTTAATATCAGATCAATATCTTCAAGCATGAAGAAAAAAAGTGTAGAAAACTAATTTGCCGGACTGACGGATGGACAGACAGACGGACGGAGTGCAAACCTAAAGTCCCTTTCGACTTTGTGGGCAGGGGACTAAAACAAAACTGAAATTTGCTTGTAAGTTTACAGAATGTATTTTTGTTATGCTAGATTATGTTTTCTTCGAAAATCTAACACAATTTTAAACATAAAATTTTATATAGATATGAAAAACTTTTTAATTTCAAACGATACATTCAAAAACAAAAACGATGACAGAAGATAAATAATCTGACACAGATTCCAAAAATATATTTAGTTTATTAGTCTTTTCATTTAAACAAAGCGATGATAAACTAGTCACTTCGAATAAAACTGACTTTGCTCAGTTTATTTTTCACTGATTCCAAAAATATACGATTTCTATGTCTTTGCCTATGAAAAAAGGGAGATAATCGACTACAACTAAGCCAAAGATGTACGTGAAGACTGCCACTTGTTAAAAAAGGAAATCGGTTATTTCGATCAGGGAAACCTACGGGTAATGTGTTTTCACGGATAGTTTCTATTGGACGCAAAAAAGGCATTTGTATATGTCTGTTCGATTAATGCGACGTATATTTAAAAAGTTGAAAAAGGACGCATTTTCAGTAATCCTGTTGATTTGCGTAAATTTGTCACTCCAATCTCCTTCTTTAAATTTTTATTTTTATATCCTAGGAAATTACATCAAATGTTGACTTTGATATATACAAATTATCTAAATTGTTTTGTTGATTTGTTAAATTATACTATTTAGCCATCTACCCACTGTCCTGTTTGTTGTTCATTTAGTTACATAAACTTTTTTTATTGATTTTAGTACGAATGTAATGAGGTATGAAATTATACCATATGTATATATATATATGATACAACAAGAAAAAGTTGAGATCTACTTTTTGTTGTTTGTAATAATCCTTGTCCTTACGCTATTGATTTTCGGGTTCATTATATCCTTTATTCAAAATTTGGCATTTACACCTCAAATTTTACTCTGAGAACAGACAAACCTGTGCACGCGGAAAAATGT